GTAATACTTGCAATACTTTTGAAGCAACTTACAATACATTACACCTGCTGAATACACTGACTAGCTTGTAGTATCTTTGGAATAAAGATACTACAAAACAAAACAAAAAAAAATTAACACCCCTACCCACCCCCACAAAAGCAGGATGGTAGTGATCTCACACAGCTCTGGACACATCTATGTGTAGCCATTCATCCACATTTAAACAGGGTGGACAGTGATTGTAGTTGAGTAAAAATCAATGTCACTCAAGTCTTCTTCACTGTAATTGGTTACTGATCTGGTCATTGGTTTGTCATTCTACTGTTTTAAGCCCTTTTTGGGTAAGTATAGATTATTTAATCATAGAGACACAGTCTTTGATCTCAGCAACCTTAGTCTGAACTTTTCAGAACATTCTATGTTGATCATACCCTTCTGACTCCTTCTGAGGCCATTAAATAAAATATACAAGTGTAAAACTGACTAATGCACCGTTCTCAATTTTTTGGATTAGTTTTGAATAGCTTTAAAAAAAACACGTGCTCTCAAGTGAAATTCAACTGTTATAGCTCTCATTAATGTTCTGCTTCAATTACACAGCTTATGTTCGAAATTAGACACACAAGATGTGTATAATTTAGGCATTCATTCCAAAAATGCTTAATTATAGCTGAATATAATAGTGCTTCTCTTGAGACTAAACCTTAGCTGCCATATAAAGGTTGATAAGAGTTCATTTCAGTGCCACCTTGCAGAAATCAGGACATTAAGTGTAGAACAATGAGAAGAATAAACTGAACTGTCACAGCAACACTGGTATTTTGACAGAAAACATTTTTTATAATTAGACATATACTAAAAGATTTCCTGCAGCCTAAACTCAAATTCAAAGGACAAATTTACAAACCACATATATGTTTTAGCTAGAGAAAAACATGTTTTAAAATGTTAATTTAGGGGGTTTTAATGTCTAGTTTACCATGAAAATGTTTACTACTCACGCTCATGTCGTTCAAAACCTGTATGTCCTTTTTCTATTGTGGAACACAAAAGAAAATATTTTTAAGAAAGTTGGTAACCAGTTTTGGTAACCATTTCTCATTCTTTTTTATTTTTAAGTGAATTATTCCTTTAACTCTACATAACGTTTTGTTGTTGTTGTTTAGATTTTTATACAACCCATGCTTGCCTATTCATAAATGACAGGATTATTAGCTGCTGTCTGGGATTTGACAGGATTTGAAGTGTATTCTTTTCGTACAATCTGCTTACACCCCAGTTTAGTTCTCTTTTCCTTATTTGTGGTTTCCTTGTTTCTTGTACATTTGTTATTATATTATTAAAATACTGCATTTGCATGCAACTCTTTGATTGTTTCCGAGTTTTTGGACGTGACTTCTAGAAGTCTGACTGTCATTGAACGTGTTATGAGATTGGATTCATGGAGCACATTCCTGCTGATCATGTAAGGACCTGCTCCGGCTGCAAGAGTTCACATTCATAACACGTTTTTATGAGAAGGATTTTGACCACTTCACATTGAAAAGTTGCAATAATGACAATACTGTATAATGATTTTTATAAAAACAAACATTATTTCCATCATTTGTAGAACAGCCTATTTACCATCGTCTCGAGGGTGTGTGATATTCTCTCTCTTATAGGCAGTGAGAAATTCATGCATTCACACATTTGTTACTTCTACACTTCACAACTGCAATAGCTGAGTAATTGGCTGATTTACCAAAGAGCTCTATCAAACATTTATAGAGAGTTCAAAATGCAGCTGAGGAATGCTGACTCATAGCAGACTGGGGAATCGCGTTATTCTTGTCAACTTATTACTCCCTTTGCTGGCTACACAATTCAGAGAATGATGACAAATCTTCATATTGAAAACTGTGACTTTTATTGCAGACACTGGTTCCTTGGCAAATATGAACACTTTACAGGGGGCACATATGGGGTTAAGCCCTGTCTCCATTTAATCTCATCACTGTAGGAGCAACAGTTGAGCTACTGAAGAGATTTCATTGATGTCTCTTTCCTACGGCGATGTCTTTATTCCACACATTCACATTCAGTGTTTGAATGGGCTTTCACTCCATCTGTCTGATCACTGAAATCTTTTATCATTTCCCTAAGCAGGTAATACATGTCAATGAAAAAATCCTCAGATGACAGTTAAACAACAGTTTTATTATCTTGCTCTGTCAGAACCGTGTGTAGGCTACCACACGGGAGAGAACAGCATATTTGGAAAAACAAGGTGTTTGTGTGTTCCAATCAGCATGCAGCGAGAGTGACAGGGAGGTTGTTTGTGAGGCTTCAGCTGCACAGTCTGTTAAAGAGCTTTTGAAATGAGTAAACAGAAAGAATGGGACACAGAAGGGGACTGGGTGAACCCCTGCCATCAGCAGTACCACTGACCCTTGCTGCTTGTTTGTTCACCAGATAAGACATGTAAACAGCATTTTTAACCCTCTGCTGATCAGATTATTTCAGAGGTTGAATAAAAATCACAAAAATCATCTTGCACAATTGAGGAGGATCTGGATCTGCTATTACTTTTCTAAGTAATCAGATTTAAGGATTTTTCTGGTGAATGATGAAACCTGTGAAAAAAATGTCCTTAGACTTATAATAAGGGCAAATCCGATAAAAAATAATAATAAAAAGCGCAATTCCAAAACAGCGCCGATGGGCGTGGAAATTTCTACAGGTTATTTACTGACAACGCGCAGATTAAAGAACACAGACGCAACATCTCATTTACATATCGACCAATGCAATATACCAAGCGCAGTGCAAATTAGCGTAGTCGCAAATAAGCGCAAATGAGTTCATCAAGTGCGGGTTATCTACTTGCGGCACAGGCGCTAAATAGTTTAAGACGTGCTTTTTTGGGTGTTAAATAATGGCGCAAATACCAGTAAGTTGACTAGCGCAAACGTTAGTAAATCGCGTTGCGTGATTCATTTTAATACTCTCCTCCCATAAATTTTGCATCTGAAAGGGATACTCCTACAAAGGCATATTCAATAAAGGTCAGGCGCAAAGGTCCGTGTACGTCATTCGTTTTTTGATTTAAAATTGAAAACAGAAACATGAGAAAAGGCACCATTTTCGTTTTTTAAAAAAAACGAAAAAACAAGAAATCGCCTTGATTTTCCGTTTTTACATTCAGGGGTAGAAAATGGATAAACAGTTTGAATGTTCGATTTCCAGTGTGGGAGGGAATTAAACGCCCCTTTCCACTGATTGGTCAAGCAAGCATCAAACGCTGCCGTCATCATGTCTCTTCAGTTTTGTGCAACAGAATAAGAGTCATCCACTGTTAAAGTGTTTATTGCAAGTCCTGCGTTCATCTCCCTCTCATCAAACAACCAGACTAATGACTTGACACAAACCATACTGGGGCAGGCCTAGACGGGGGCTTACTTCTGTCAGTGTCGGTTTCTGTTTAGTTCCTGTTTGTCCTTATTTGGTTCCTGTTTCCTGTTCTCATTATTAGTTAATCATCGTTCATTCTGTTCACCTGTGTTATATCATTCATCTCGTTTGCTCCTTAGTTGCCTGCCCTTATAAACCCTCAGTTTCTGTGTCTTTTTGTCTCGGAATGAACGTTACTTTGAATGGTCAATGTATGTTAATGCTAATTAAATGCCTCCTTTACGTCTACTCATTTTCAAGCGCCTTACTATAACCACGTACCGTGACAGAATCCGAGACCCGTTAACGACGACATTAATGGAGGAACGAGCGAGGTTAATCGCCGTGGCACAGGCGAACCCCGACCCGATCGTCTACGCGAGGGCGTTCGTGCCGCTCGCCCTCGCCAGCTTCCTCGAGGTTCCTGTTTCCTGTTCTCATTATTAGTTAATCATCGTTCATTCTGTTCACCTGTGTTATATCATTCATCTCGTTTGCTCGTTAGTTGCCTGCCCTTATAAACCCTCAGTTTCTGTGTCTTTTTGTCTCGGAATGAACGTTACTTTGAATGGTCAATGTATGTTAATGCTAATTAAATGCCTCCTTTACGTCTACTCATTGTCAAGCGCCTTTACTATAACCACGTACCGTGACAGAATCCGAGACCCATTAACGACGACATTAATGGAGGAACGAGCGAGGTTAATCGCCGTGGCACAGGTGACCCCCGACCCGATCGTCTACGCGAGGGCGTTCGTGCCACTCGCCCTCGCCAGCTCCCTTGAGGGGGAAACCCTCGTGACGCTGTTCCGGATCGGGATAACTTACCATCGCTCCGCGGAGCTCCCATACACCACTAACCTCAACTGGAAGGAGGCAGTCATCCGGTGTCTGGAGAGCCTCCGATCCCAATCCAGGACTCCTCCTCGGCTTTCACCACGCCGAAGTCAAGGCAGCCGGTCGCGGCTCATTCCTGCCCGCCGGCCGTTCCTGTGGCAAGCCCG